ATTTAGCTATTAGAGACTGTGCTGCTATGAATGTGGGTGTGCACATGTTACTGTGGTGTGATGCTTTTAATTCTTTTGGGAAAATACCAAGAAAGGGATAGCTGGGTCCAATGGAACCTTTAATTTTATTTTTTTAAAAGAATATCCACATTGATTTTCACAGTGATTCCACCAGTCTACACTCCCACCAACAGTGGAAGTTTCCTTTCTCCCTACAGCCCCACCAGAATTTGTTATTCCTTGATTTCTTATAATAGCCAGTTTTTCTGGAGTGAGATAGAATTCACCATTGTTTAAATTTATATCTCTCGAATGCCTTGTGATGTTGAATTTTTTTCATATATTTATTTGTCATTTGTACTTCATTGTCTGAGAAGTGTATATTCATATCAGATGCCCATTTTTGGACTGGGTCTTTAAATTTGGAGATTTTGATTCTTTTCAGTTTTTTATATATTCTTGATATCAGTCATTTGTCTGAGGAACAGCTAGCAAAAGTTTTTTTTTTTGCCATTGTGTGGGTTGTTGAATTATTCTGTTGATGTTTTCTTTTGCTGTGCACAACATTTTTAATAAGATGAGATCCCCGCTGTTGATTCTTTGTAGCATTTCCTATGCAATTGGAATTTTATCATAAAGTCTTTCCCTATTCCTGTGTCTTCAAGAGTTCTACCTATTCTCTCTTCCAGCAGATTGTTTCTGTTCTAATATCAGGGACCTGGCCAGGATGCTTAACTACCTGTATGACGGGTACAGCAAAAGGGTGAAATAAGAAACAGACATTTTTAGTAACACATCATGGGAGCCTAGGAGGTCAATGCCTCAGGATGAGCAGAGAAAATGACACTCCTGTAGCAATGTAGAGGCTGTGGTAGAATAGGAAGGTTTAACACCCTGAAGGAAACAAACCAAGATCCATCTCCACACCTGGGTGCTAATCTCACTGACTAAAAGGAAGGTGATTTATGCATTCCAAAACTAGCCCACAAGGCAGTCAGTGAAAGGAGAGCCTAGGATAGATACTTTGTCAATTTATAATCCCTGGCCCCTAACATTTTAATATTTAGACATTTGATCTATTTTGATTTTAGTTTAGTGAATAGTGATAATCATGGGTCCAATTTTTAATTTTGGCATGTGGAAAGCCACTATTTCCAGCACCATTTATTAAAGAGTCTATCTTCCAGTGAGAATATTTGACCCCTTATTAAAGATAAGGTAGCTATGCATGTTTGGAGCTGTTTCTGCATCTTCTAATTTGTTCCATTGATCCTTGGGTCTGTTTTTTGCCAGTACCATGCTGTTTTTATCACAGTAGCTCTGTAGTATAATTTCAAGTCATGGATTGTGATGCCCACTGCCTTGCCTTTGTTGCCCACAATTGTCTTTGCTATTCTAGGTCTCCTCTGAGTAATGTTTTAGTAATGTTTTGTTTTGCAAGGTATGTTCTTGATATTTTGATTGGGATTGTATTAAATCTCTATAACAATTTTGGAAGTATGGCCATTTTTACTATGTTAGTTCTTTGTACCCAAGAGCAAGGTGTATCCTTCTTTATTTGTTCATTTTCAGAGTACTGTAAGTGTCAATGTAAAGAACTTTTACTTTCTTTGTTAGATTGATTCCTAAGTATTTCTTTCTGTTTTTTCAATGCTATTGTGAAAGGTGTGGTTTTCCTAATTTCTGTCTCAGTGATTTTGTTATTTGTATGTAGGAATGCTATTGATTTTTTTCGTGTTGCCATTGTATCCAGCTACATGACTGAATTTGGTTATTAGATCTAGAAGTCTTTTGATGGAGTTTTTGGGCTCTTCTATGTAGAATATCAAGGTGTCAAAGAATAATGATACTTTAACTTCTTCCTTTCCTATCTTTATTCCTTTTATTTGTCTTGTCTAATTGCTCTGGCTATGTTTGCAGAACTGTATTGAACAGGAATGGTGACAGTGAGCATCCTTACCTTTTAAAGATTTCTCGTTTTGATCATTTAGTATGATGTTGGCTATTGATTTGTCATAGATGGCTCTTATTAGACTGAGATAAAGACTGACATCTCTTCCAGTTTTCTGTAAGGATTTTTATCACGAATGGGTGTTGGACT